CTCTCTCTCTCTCTCTCACACACACACACACACACACACACACACACACACACACACACACACACAAAGAAACAATAACCATAAAAAGATTGTTATAAATAAAATGCGCCAACACACAGACCAACAAAACAAAACACAGATAGCTTTAAAAACCCAGTACTCACCCGTCCGTGTCCGCCGCAGTTGAGGGACCGCTCTCCTCCATACCACTTCCGCTCTTCTCCCCACTTCCGGCCGCCGCCTGCAGGACTTCCGGGGGCGGGGGAGGGAACTCCTGGTCGCCCGCGTGGACCTCGATCATCTCCCCCTGCCCAGAAGTGGGCGGGGTCGGGGGCGGAGGGATCTCGGGGCCTCTCCTGGGTCTCCACCGAGGGGCGGGGAGAGCCGGGGCGTCGGGGCCAGCTCCGAAATGTGTCTCCATCTTCGAACCCTGCTGCTGCTGTTGGTGCTGATGATGGTGTTGTTGTTGCTGCTGCTGCTGTTGCTGGTGGTAGTTGCGACCTGCTCCCCCTCCTTTCCGGTCCGCCAAAATGTCGTGGTCGGACGCGCTCCTGTCACGGGGCGAGGCTAGTGCTTGATTGGCAGAAGACTGGGCTCCACCCATATTTCCTGTGGTTGTGGTGGTTGAGTTGGCGGGAGTTTTGTGGACCGGAGACAGGTCCGAGTTACTCCGGAGTCGAGAATCTTCCGCGAGGAACGTCCGAGAGGCGATCTGTGGAGCCACGGGCTGCACACTGACTGATGACGGCACCGCTGACGTAGCGGAAGTGTTATTGTTACTGTTGTTGTTGTTGTTGCCAATGGCAACGTAGGACACGCCCCCTGCTGAGAGAACGGATGTGTGGGACGGGGGAGGGGGGTCTTTGGAGGAGGAAGAGGAGGAGGCGTATGGCCTGTACTGAGAGGTCACATTGGTTGAGGGGAGCGACGATGAGGGCTGAGATGATGAGGAGGAGGGGGAGGAGGAAGACGGGGGCGATGAGGTGGAAGCACCGGCAGTGGAGGTTGTGGAGATGATGTTGTTGTTGTGGTGGGAGGAGGGGGAGACTGACGACGGCGGTAACAACGACGACGACGAAAAAGGAACAACTGACGATTGCGAGGAGATAGTAGACGAAACAGCTGAGGAGGAGGAGGCGGCTGCTGACACGGTCGTAGAGGATGAGGAGGAGGAGGACGCGGGTGAAGTGGCCTCTTGCGGGACCATAGGCTCTCGTTTGTACGTGGTGGCGAAATTAATCTTAGTCCGGGAGTGCATTACCGACATGGGCGTGGCATTCACCTGCTGTTGCTGATGTTGATGCTGATGTTGCTGCTGCTGCTGCTGTTGTTGTTGCTGGTGGCTGGTCAACCTTTGCGCCTGCTTCCTCAGCTCGGCAGCGTATTTGTCTTCGCGCGGGGAGCTGTTCTCCCATTGGGTCATCAGACTCCTGAAGTCTCTCTTGCTGTGGTCTACCTGACCACTCTCGCTCTCCTCCTGCCCGGGCAGCGCCTGCTGTTGCTTGATCTGCTTGCCAAGAGGAATCACGTCGAACCGGTTCTTAGAATCGATCCGGTTCTTCGGATCCGGTACCGCCGGGCCGGAGCCGGCGGCGGAGTTTGCCAAAGTCTCCCGATACTTCCTGGGCGGAAGTTCCGGGGGCGTGGTGTCCGGGCTGGGCGTGCGGGGCGGGATGGGGGGCGGGGGGCGGCGCTTGGAGGGGAAGTTCTGGTAGGTGGGCGCCACTAGACTGCCGTCCATGCTGGCACTGTGCGGGGGAGAGAGGGGAGAGGGAAAAGAACGAGAATGTTAGTGCATCTTTTCATCTTTCACCTGAAAGTTTTGTTCTTTAGTTTAGTTTCAGCTTTAGTTAGAATTTTACACACTTGCAACACAATAGGTCGTATTAGTTTTAGATATTGTAAGAGTTTTACGACACTTGTTAAACACAATAAAGTCATCATATAAGTTCCGATGATTAGAGGTGTTTCAAGAGAGTAACAAAAATCAAACATAAAAAAGAAGGAGGGGAGATAAGGATGATAGATGTTTCGCAGGAAAGAAGAAGCAAACCACACCAGAGCACCCGCCAACTAACCACAAACGAAACAACAACAAGCAACAGTAAGCTAAAACCAAATACGTAAGGCGCATCAAGAGGAAAGTCAAAAGGCCCAAAATTCCCTTGAATACTTCCAAGAACATGAACAGTCATGGCTGACACAAACACGAAGGCACAACAAACAAGCAAATACATCGTAATAAGGAAAGCGCAGCCCAAAGGAGTTAACGGCAATAGGACATTCAACTTGTCAGGCGGACGCTAAGCGAAAACAAGACTGACTGGAAAACAACAGCGCCCCCCCTCCCCTCCTTGCATCAGAACACACACACGCAAAACACAACACACACACAGAGGGAGAGACAGAGAGAGAGAGAGAGAGAGAGAGAGAGAGAGAGAGAGAGAGAGAGAGAGAGAGAGAAAAGAACAGAGGTACAATAATTTCACCAACCCCACCCCCCCCCTCCCGAAAACGTACGCACAACTTGAGGAGTAAACACAAGAGTAACCAGCTGGGACTAAGAAAGAGCTCAACTTTTACGACGTTTTTGAGTTCATGAAGGTACACCCAGACCAAAAAAGAGCTCCGGACAATAACAAACGTGGAAAGGAAAAAAACAAACCCAAACAAGTGAGCACCCACCCGCCGCCCGCCACAGGCAGATAGTGAGAGAGAAACAAGATCCTGGCGACATGCACGAGCGAGTACCCACCGAGCGTAAGATAGAACCAAAAAAAAACCCCACCAGGAATGCGAAAACAGCAACGAGTAGACCAAAAGCACCTGCTGCCAACTGGGGAAACGAGAGGCGCTAAAAATAGCCGGCATCGCGCGGAGCGGAAGAGCGTAAACAAATGGAGCATGGTAAAGACCTGGCTTAGACAGTACCCAGGGGGCCAGGAGGTAGGAACGCTTGGAATAACAAGGACTTGTACTTCAAAGATACGGTGAAGTAAACACTGGCACGAATGAAGGTACCTCGAATGAGGTGGCTATGCCAAGCTGGAAAGGAGGATTGGGAGTGGAGGGGTGGGGATGGGAGTGGAGGGGAAGAGGAGTGAACATTTTTGTCCCATTCTTCATTCGGAACTCATTGTTTTATCAGTTTTTGAATTTGTTTGTTGGTTTGTTCGAGGAAAGAGAAGCGCATCTACACAATAATGGTAATTTAGTACTGAGAAAAAGTAAGACAAACACAGGGAAAAATAAAGAAGCAATAGGGAAGTGGGAACTTTCTGCGACGCCTTCCAACCATCCACCACTTTTTAAACAAACAGAAACACATAAGCACATACGAAATATGGGCCACCGAATAAAGTTCTCGAAAAAAAGTATTGATGGAGTTGCAACAAAAATTAGGTAATATACGTGCCGAAAATTAGAGCACCTGCTAACCACCCGCCTGTCATCGAGTTTCAATTAAAATAACTCCTCCATATTCAATTACACCAACAGAATCGACTACCACGAGAAAACAACAACAACAACAACAACAACAACAACAACAACAACAACAACAACAACAGCCCCCACCCCCATCCCTTCACAAATCCCCCAGCTGTCCTTCCTTAAAATAACAGAGGTCCGGAGAAGACCCGCCAAAATTAGACATGACCCGGCCTGGTATGTCCACTGGTTGGTATGTGTGACTGGTCACCACGCACTCCTCCTGTGGCCAGTCCCATTGGGCTCGCTCGCCGGCTGACCGACATGATGTCACTAATTACCGCGTGATAACGACCACTCCAGGTGATGTCCACTCTCATTGTGGGATGGTACAGACTGACCCCAGCCCCAGCCTCACAACACGACATGACATTTATACAGTGGATATTGCCTAAGACGGCCACCCCCTGTCGACGTGAAAAGCGACTGTCTTAGACAGGTGGACGTCTAGAACGATGCCATTGTAATGTAAAAAAAAAGGATAGACGTGGAACGTACTAAAAACTCCCACAAAAACAAAATTTAGAAAAACATTGAACTCAGGCCATTCGCATCGTAGTCCAGCATGATGACACGATGGCTCCTGAGCTAATGGTGTGATCCCGCACGATGAGAAATGTAATAGTTTTAGTAAGAGTTTTACGGCACTCGCAACTGCACAAGGTCATATGAGCGCCAGAAAATTTGAGGTGTTACAAGAGAGTAACAAACAAAAAAGAAGGAGGGGAGATGAGGACGATAGATGTTTGATAGGAAAGAAGGAGCAAACTACACCAGAGCACCCGCCAACTACCCACTGGCCATAAAAATAACATTTCACCGACGTAAAACAATGTTCTGTTCTAATATCTGTACATTCATGTGACTGAGACCCTGTACATCCTGCTATCGCAGTCCTGGTATCTCTACAATTTCAAATGGATACTTCAGACTATCGTAAGTAAACAGCCGCAGAATACCCTGGGCTACAGCTCAACGACACAAAACAAACCTTGATCTAGATTGATCACAACAGATGGAGATGGAGTTGGGAGATTGGGGCTTGATGATAGGGATGTATGTGTGTGTGGGGGGGGGGGGGAGGTGGGGAGACTCAAGTAAAACCAGCTGACCTATTTTCGAATTGGATCTCATTAGATATTTCGAACACAAGTCGATAATTTGTTTGTTTGAGTAAACAGAAGTTCATTGACACACTAATGGTTATTTGGGCAGGGAAACAGTAAGACAGACAGACAGATAGAAACAACAGAGGAAAAGTAAAGAAGTAGGACCTACCAGTAGCACCCTCCAGCCACCCACTCAACAAGTGGACAAGTCGAAAAGTGACGTAACGTAGATGGTCACGGGGAGTGTGACAGCACCACGCCAGTCAGGCAGAGCGTGGCCGGTCAGAGATAGCGAGGTGTGTGTGTGTGTGTGTGTGTGTGTGTGTGTGTGTGTGTGTGTGTGTGTGTGTGTGTGTGTGTG